CCATTGACCCCTTCTGGCCCACCCCCATCTCCCACCCCAGGTTGGTTTACTAGATGCTAGAGATATTGAACTTATAAATGCTATTAATATTTGATTACTATGACTATTCCAATATAATAAAATAATTATTAAAAAGGTAAAAATTACATGTCATATGTGCCTGCTAAGTGCCTGGTACTATTCTAGGTCCCGAGGATATACAACCTAGAACATGTCCCTGCCCTTAAGAATATACATTATAGTAGAGCAACAAGCAGTAAATCCATAACTAAGAAAATATATAGAGGCATGGGGACCTGGGGCTTGGGGTGGTCAAGGGGAAGGAGGGAGGGTAGAGTAGGGGATGAGCATTTCGCTGCAGTTGGTCGCAGGGCCACCAGTGGAGAGCTGTGCCGGGAGGGCCTGGGTCCCGTGGCAGAGGCACCATGAGTCGCCAGGCCTGCTGCTCAACCAGGGAATCCTCTGGGTGACCTCGAGGTCCCATCAGCCGTGTTTGGACCCGATAACTTATGAGCTTAAAATTAAATTTAGTTCTGAACAAATGCAGCTTTTTTATTTGAGACAAACTATTTTGAAGACTGAGACTGGAGTTTTTTCTTTGAGGATATAGTAAATCTTTGGGAAAGTCTGTAATTTATATAGCTAAAATGTGAATCCTGAGATGGAATCTCTAAAAGGCCAGTACAAGGGAATAGATATTGGTGGAAGCATTTACACCCAGGCAGCTTGAAGAGTTCCAAATGGATCCTACCACTGAGAACTCAACTTGGCAGTCCACAGTGGGAAATACAAGAGTGCTGTGATAATATACAAGACAGGGTTCTTTTCACATGGATTTCATGAAATGAATGAAGACAATAGGTTTCTTACCCAACACAAATGGACAGTGGATTTGACTTTCTAAAGACTTTTTGTATCATTAAAACAAGTTCATTTTTGACATTTGAAGATGAAAGATGGCATGTTAACAGAGATGATAGTTTGTATGCCTGGAATTTTTATCAGTTTGATTTGTATGACCTTGTGGAGTGTTAACTTTAATAAAATTTCTGACACTTAAAAAAAAAGAAAATAAGTAGAATTTGTGTAGAGATAGGCAGTCACTTTTTAAAGAAGGTAGGTGGCATGGTGGTACACACTCAGCAGGAAAATCCAGTTCCAATGGCATCAGATGCGGTGCCACCTTGTATGTATAATTTTTTCCTTTTTAAAATTTATTGATTTTAGAGACAAGGGAGGAAGGGTGGGAGAGAGAAAAAGAAACATTGATTTGTTGCTCCACCCATTCATGCATTCACTAGTTGATTTTAAAATATATATATATGTATTTATTGATTTCAGAGAGGAAGGGAGAGGGAGAGAGAGAGATATAGAAACATCAATGATGAGAGAGAATCTTTGATTGGCTGCCTCCTGCAGGGATTGAGCCCGCAACCAGGGCATGTGCCCTTGACTGGAATCTTACCTGGGACCCTTCAGTCCGCAGGCTGACGCTCTATCCACTGAGCCGAACCAGCTAGGGCTCACTAGTTGATTTTTTAAAAAATTTTTATTTATTGATTTGAGAGAGAGAGAGAGAGAGAGAGAGAGAAGATAGGTAGATAGATAGATAAAGAGAAAAACATTGCATTGTTGTTCAATTCATTTATGTATTATTCATTCGTTGATTCCCTGACTGGGAATCGAACTGGCAACCTTTTGGTGCACAGGACAGTGCCCAGTGAACTGAGCCACATTGGCCAAGGGCCTAATTTCCCTTTTTGATTTACTTTCCTCAATATTTATCAGCCTCTAAATTATGTAATTTCCTCACATTTATTTATGTTTTTATTACCTGTTTCCCTAACTAGAACACAAGGTCCAATTAGGGCAGGTTTTTTTTTTTCTTTCTCTGTTATGTTGACTGACCTCTGCATCTTTGACACCTAGAACATTGCCTGAATCAAAGTTGATCCTCCATAAATAGTTGAGTGAATAAATGAATGAATAAATGTTAAGAGTTATACAAATGTAGTTTGAAAAGAAAAAGAGCTATATAAGCAATCTGATTAGCAGAAACTGCCAGTTACATGTCTAACTTTTTAAAAAATATGTTTTTATTGATTTTTAGAGAGAGAGGAAGGGAGAGGGACAGAGAGATAGAAACATCAGTGATGAGAGAGAATCACTGACCAGCTGCCTCCTTGCATGCCCTACACTAGGGATTGAGACTGCAACCTGGGCATGTGCCCTGACCCGGAATCAAACTGTGACCTCCTGGTTCATAGGTTAGCACTCAACCACTTAGCCATGCCGCTGGATGGGGGATAATTTTTTATAACATCACATGTTATTTTTGTCATGCTGACCATTAGCCACTGGTCACTTTACATTAGCCACTCTTCATTTTATGAGATATTCAGTCAATTATTTTTCTAAAAGAACTCAGTTCATCCTACTTTTTCCAAGTTCCTAGGTCCTAGAGGCCAAATGATATGTTGGGAAGGAGTTATTTAGGTGCTCAGTTTTGGCACTTATATTATTTTCCCCCACAAAAATTTATTCAACATTTTGTTCAGTACACTGGCAGACAGTAGGTAATATTAAAATGGATATGACATTGTCCCCTGCTCTCTAAAAATGTACAGTTTATTTTGGAGAAGAAAGTTGATCTAAAACTCTCTTCTCTTGATCACTGATAAAGATATTTCTTTGGCACTTATTTCTTCCTTTTATTCATATACTTGTGCATGTACCTTATTACCTGTTCTTAACTGTAAGCTCCTTGAGGGAAAGGGACCATGTCTTTCTCATTTTTGTATCACTGGGAATTTGAAAAATTATGTATTGAATTACTGTATGAACTAATTTATGTGGACATTCTTTTAAGTCCATAAAGTACAGAGATATGTCAGGTGGTATTTTCTAAAAATTAAATCATACCATGTAGTGTCTAAGTGCTGAATGAGAAGCATCAGTGGCAGGGGTGCTGTTAGGACTGATCAGATAATTGAATGGGTACCCCTCCCCTGGGAACTGACGTTCAGATCACTTCACAACCGACCTTCCCTTTCACTTAGATCACATTCCACTTGCTAAGACCATTATCTTTCCCAGGATCCAGACCCGCCCAGAGAGTTCCCCGCCGAAAAAGCCCACCTAGAGTCCCTTAAAACCTCTGACTCCCCATCCTTGGGTGCTGGTGCCATTTTGGGGCTCAGCCCATCTGGTTTTCCAGATGACCTAATAAATTTATAATTCCTTACCACTTTTGGCCTTGTGTGTACCTCCTTTGGCTACCCTAATAGGTGCTAAATTTTATGGGATTTTGGGAGATAACACTGTGGACTGAGAGGTTGGGCAAGACTTTGCAGAGGAGGTGTGATTCAAGCTCTGAAGGAAGTGTAGCTGTTCTCTGTTTAGGAATGGGAACTGTATTCCAGTTGGAGGAAAGAGGTAGTACAATATTAGGGAGTAATATGTAGAGCACTAGGGGCCCAGTGCACGAATTCATGCATCTTGAAAGGAACTGTGGGCCGCGAGGCTGCGGTGGGCACAGGGGCAGGTCTTGGCCCATCCTTTGCACCCCCCCGGCCCCTCCCACTGCAGTCCCTGGTGCCCTCTCTGCCAGCAGCCCCTGCTCCTGCTGCCGCTCCCACGCGCTGACTGCGCTGGCCCCGCTCGCACCTGCTGATGGTGTGGAGCGATTGGGGTCGGCGCCAGAAGTGGGTGTGAGCAGGGCTGGCGCTGTCAGTGGTGCAAGTGGCGGCTGCTGCCCCGATCACCCCTCAGGAGCAGGGGGAGGTGGAGAAGCCCTCAGAGGTGATCGGGGCTGGCAGCCACCACTCGCTGATGGCGCCGAGTGATCAGGACCGGCGCTGGGTACTGGCAGCAGGTGCCAGCGGCGGCTCTGGCGCTGGCAGTGGGTGTGAGTGGGGCCATTGCTGTCAGCAGTTGCAAGAGGCAGCTGCCAGCCCCTATCACCCCTCAGGAGCAGGGGGAGGTGGAGAAACCCTGAGGAGTGATCGGGGCTGGCAGCTGCCGCTTGCACCTACTGACTGCACCGAGCAGTCGGGGCCGGCGCTGGCAGTGGGTGTGAGCAGTGGTTCTGGCACTGGCAGCAGGTGTAAGTGGGGCCGGTGCTGGCGCAGGCGCCAGCAACAGGTGTGAGCGCTGGGCGGGACCACGGTGCACGGGAGCAATGAATTTTCAGTGACCACCAGAGGCTTGCCCTGATGACAACAACTGGCGCCCCGCCTTAGTCTGGCACCCCCACTCACCTGCTACACCATCTTGCTGAGGCCGACACTCGCCATGTCCCGTGCGTGCCCCCTAGTGGTCAGTGCACGTCATAGCAACCAGTTGTTCGGTTGTTCTGCCGTTCGGTCTATTTGCATATTAGGTTTTTATATATATAGATATTTAGAGACTGGTCAATGGGTCAGGTGTGCTCAAGTTGAGGGGATGAGTATGTGTGTATATGTGGTGGTGGGGGTTGAGGGCAAAGGGGGCAAGTTGTGCTTGAGCCTTCTACTTGACGTGTGATTTTTTATTTTATTTAAAAAAAATTTTTTTTAAATTGACTTTCAGAGAGAGAGGAAGGGAGAGGGGGAGAGAAAAACATTGAAGTGAGAGCAAAACATCTATTGGCTGCCTCCTGCAAGCCCCCTACTGGGGATCGAGCCCACAACCCAGGCAAGTGCCCTGACTAGAAATCGAACCGGCAACCTTTCAGTGCACAGGAAGACGCCCAACCAACTGACCATACTGGCCCGGGCTCAACAAGTTCTTTTAAAACTTCTTTGTTTCTTACCTGTAATTAGAGCAAAGGAATTAGACTTGAGTTTGGCTTTAAAATCTGTGATTAAAAAAAAAAAGTCAGGACTTTTAGTTAGTAAGCAGCATTAAGCAAGATGTTTTTTGAATTTAAGTGGGTGGATTATAAAATAAAAGAGGTATTTTAGGGCTTCTGAGAGATTATTGGAAGAAACTAGAAGCAGGTAGGTCAGTTACTAATTTTAGTAGTTTGAATATAAATCCTGACTCAAGAACAGGAAAATGAGATTGATAAGGTTTCCTTCTTGGGTGGGAGAAGCAGAAGGGAGAAGTAAAAATGTTTAAGTTTGAAACTGAATGAACTGAGGATGACATGTAGGATGTTAGGTGTGTCCTGTTATTTTTGTTTGGGATAGGGATTGGGTGGAGAGGATTAAGCCTGGTGGAAAGATAAATTATAATTTTAGACATGTCTAAATCTTACTGGAGGATACAATGATGAATGAGAATAAGATGTACCCACTTTTTTATTTTTATTTTTAAATCCTCACCCGAGGATATTTTTTCCATTGATTTTTAGGGAGAGTGGAAGGGAGAGGGAGAGACAGAGAGAAACACTGATGTGAGAGAGACACATCGATTGGCTGCCTCCCACATGCCCCTGACCAAGGCCAGGAGCCTGCAACCAAGGTACGTGTCCTTGACCGGAATCGAACCTGGGACCCTTCAGTCCGCAGGCCGACGCTCTATCCACTGAGCCAAACCGGTTAGAGCCCGTACCCACTTCTTTAAAGGTGCTCCCAGTGACTATATTAATGCAGAAGTGTCTATACAAAGGACAGTGGACTTTCAGAGGAGGCAGAGGGAGAGGGAGGGCTGAGAGCTTCTGGGATACCTGGAGAAGATGGTGGCTGAGGTGCGTCTCACATGATAAGTAGGAACCCATCAAAGAGAAACATGAAAGTCAGTGATTCTTATGGTGCTATTTCCCTTATTTATGCACCCTTTACCCCTATCTTGTTTGATGTTTAATGGCCATTTCTCTCTCTTTTTTTAAAGGATCTACCGCTACCAGTCTCATGACTATGCCTTCAGTAGTGTAGAAAACTTACTACATTCTCTAGGAGGGGACGACTTCCTTGGGATGCTTAACCGGACATTTCTTGAAACCTTACAGAAAGCAGGTTTTTCTAAGAAATTCCTTGATGAAATGATTGCTCCTGTCAACAGGCTCAATTACGGCCAAAGCATGGACGTCAATGGCTTTGTAGGTAAGCCAAGGCTTGGAAAGGTTATAGAATTGGTTCACAGAGGGGCGTACCTGACGTTATGGTTACTTCTGACCTAAGCCGTGAGTTGGAGAAGACTACCTTTCTCTGTGAAACCTCAGACATTGTTGGCAAAATTGTGTAAATGTAGATGTGCATTTTTATGGGGAGAGTGTCCTTAGTTTTCATTAGTTGAATGGTTCTCAGCTGGAGGAGATTTTGCCCCCAGGGGCCATTTGGCAATGTGTGGAGACATTGGGAGCAGAACTCACCTCATTGGGAAGGGAGAGTGGGTGGAGGGCTCCTTACCGAGCTAGAATTAAAACACTTTTTTTTCCTACTGCTGACAGGGGCAGTGTCACTAGCTGGTGCTGATTCTGGCCTTTGGGCGGTAGAAGGTGGCAATAAACTTGTTTGTTCAAAGCTCCTTCAGGCTTCCAAAAGCAACCTTATATCTGGCTCAGTAATGTACATAGAGGAGAAAACAAGAACCAAGCAGACAGGTGAGCTTGAATTTCTATTTGTTGGTTCCTGATTTCCCCTGTAGAAAATAATTGCTCAGGGAGAAAAAACTCTGTTCCTCCATTTCTCACTCAGTTCCAAATGATGGAATTTTAAATTGTATGTGTTGTGCTATGTGGAAATATTCTTAAATGTACTCAAGTACAGTGGCATGATTCCTTGGATTTAAAAAATTTTATTCTCAAAAGTAAATGTTCCTTATTTTGTACTTGTATTATTTTTATTCTGAGTAGGAAATTGGCCTCAGTTTGGGACAGTTATCCTAATAGGTAAAGTCTTTTTTTTTTTTTTAGAGAGAGAGATAGAAACATCAATTTGTTGTTCTTATTTATGCATTCATTGGATAAAGTTTTTAATTCCTTAGGACTATAAATGATTAAGAAGATATAGAATTTTTTTTTTTTAGAATTATTTTTAGGAGGCATAAAGTATAGTATGTTAGAAACACTAAAGAAATGTATGCATCCTTATTTCTTCTAGGACACCCCACAAAGATGTATGAAGTGGTCTACCAAACTGGATCTGAGACCCGTTCAGGCTTTTATGACATCGTCTTGGTGGCCACTCCACTGAATCGAAAAATGTCCAATATAACTTTTCTCAACTTTGATCCTCCAATTGAAGAATTCCATCAATACTACAAACAAATAGTGGCAACTTTTATTAAGGGGAAGTTGAATTCAACTTCTTTTAGCTCCAGAGCCTTAGATGAATTTGGTCTCAGTACAATCTTAACCACTGATAATTCACATTTGTTTATTAATAGCATTGGGATTGTGTCCCCTGTAAAAGAAAATAATAATCCTCAACCATCTACAGATGGAGCTTTTGTTTGGAAGACCTTTTCCCCGGAAACTCTTACTAACGAGCAACTTTTAAAGCTCTTTTTGTCCTATGAATATGCTGTGAAGCAGCAGTGGCATGCATATCCTTACTATAAGCCTCCAGATAAATGCCCCCCCATCATACTCCATGATCGACTTTATTACCTCAATGGCATAGAGTGTGCAGCGAGTGCCATGGAAATGAGTGCCATTGCAGCCCACAATGCCGCTCTCCTTGCCTATCATCGCTGGAACGGGCACACAGATATGATTGACCAAGAGGATTTGTATGAGAAACTGAAAACTGAACTATGAGATAACACTTTCATTCCCCCCCCTCCTGGTTCCAAATGGAATATCACTGGCAAAAAAGAACACAATCTGAGCAGAGATGATTTTGAATCAGATATTTTGCCATTATCATTGTTTAACAAGAGTAATCCCAGTGAGTCATGGGAAAATACAAAGGTCTAAGTGTGAAGGTGTAACTATTGTATTTATGCCATCTCCAAAATGTGTGTGTAATTTTCAGAGTACATTTATTAAAGCTGGCGACTGTGAAACAAAGGAAGGACTTAGGGTAGAAGCAAAAGGACAGGGTAGAAGAAGCAAAAGGAGAAAGCCTAGGTGGTACTCTGCTTTGGTTCCCTAGAAACGTTATAGAGGTGAGCCAAGGCAGAGCTGCTGTTAGCTCACCGAAAAGTCAGAAAAAAGGGGCCTGGGAGATGGGTTCAGGGTGTTAGTCCTGGATGAACTGCTGCTGCCCATTGCTCCCCTGGTTGCAAGTCTTGTGGGGACCCTTAGCGTTTAGGAGAGAAAAGTAAAGATGCACACCTGAGATGGAAAAAAAGGCATGGGCGTGTTCCAGAGAGAGCCTGCTCCAAAATTTTGTAACTCTTAAGGTCCATCAACAGTGTTTTCCAAACTTGTCTGATCATAAGAATCATCTGGAATTTGTTAAACATATGGAATTCCCTAGTTCCTCTGGAGAGTCTGATTCCATAGGTCTAGAGGTGAGGCCTTGGATTTTGAATAAAACTTTAGAGCATTTTAAGCTGAACACTTGAGGAAGAACTTAAAGACATATCTTTTAGTTGGGGACTAGTTCATTTGTGCTTACAGCTGGTGTGATCTTTAGTCACATAGTGAAATCTGCTATGGGAGCTGGTATCTTATGCCTGGCTTTAGTAATTTATACCATTTTCCAAGTAAATGTGCCCATTACTGAAGCCTTGACTTTTAGAATGATGCTTTTGATTGCTTCTGCATTTTTTTTTTTTTTTAGGAATGAAATTCAGAAGTCTGAGTAGTATAACTTTAAGATGTCATACAAAAACTCCAGTAAAATGAAAAGCAAATATAGGCTATTGATGTGAAGAAATTGGCCTTCTATTATCAAAACCTCACCAATGGAGCTTTTATATATTTTTACCTTTTAAAAATGTTTTTATTGGTCTTATAGAGAGGGAGGGAGAGGGGGAGAAATATTGATGTGAAAGAGAAACATTGATTGGCTGCCTCCAGCATGCCCCCTACTGGGGATTGGACTCAACTGGGGCACGTGCCCTGACCAGGAATCAAAGCAGTGACCTTCTGGTGCAGGGACAACACTCAACGAACTGAGCCATACAGGCCAGGGCTCACCTATGGAACTTTAAAAAAATACAGATAGACTCCTCCCCACCCCCCGCCCCCCAATTAGAGATTCTAATATAATAGATTGAGGATAGGACCTCACCATTGTAGCTTTTTAAAGTTTCTAATGTGCAACCTGTGTTGAGAATCACTGATTTGGGCAACTGAAATGTCTCCAAAGGGTTTGTAGTGCCTTAAAATTGTCACAAGAAATTCAATCCATAATCAAAGCAGATTCATTTTGTGAAGAATGAGTTCTCAATGAGAAAGCATTGACAGTTTAACAGCAGACAACCGAGACTAATTATTCTAGAGCAATTGACATGAGTAGGACGTTCAGAATGACACCATACTTGATCAAATCCAGCATGTTTCAACTTCTTAAGCTACTGTACCATTTTGAGAAACTGGTTGCTGAAACCTTAAGATGGTAGTCTCAACCTTGACTGCACTTTGAAGTCACCTGTAGGACTTTAAAGCTTCCCAAGGGATTCTAACATGCAGCCAAACTTGAGAACCAGTTCTACATCTACTGTACAATACAAAGATCATGAATGACTGTCAAGGTAGAGATAGAACAAGTAAAAGCTTGTGAATTCAAATAACTTGCAAAAAAGTTAACATGTACTGTTATTTAGTTTGTCAAAGGGTCAGTTTTCTAATTTTATTTTTAAAATGTTATTTTTTTCCACATTGTTTTAATGAAGACAATATGTAGAGAATGTATATGCTACACTGGTACATACTAATTTATCATCTGTAGACTTATTTTGCAATGGGATATATTTTTACTTATAAGAATTTTTTCCAACAGGAAATCTGTTGGAAATTGCTTCCTCAAAGAGCAAAACAGGTTATCTGTATATCAAGCATATTAGTTTTAATAGTTACAGCATTAAAGAATTTAATTGGTTGAAAAATATCAGCTCATTTACTCATCTTTTTACGGAAGAGACTGGTAAAAATGATGCAGAGGCAGGATGAGACAGTTCTGCAACTTGAGTATGCATTGGACTCACCTGAATTTTTCAATAGGTTTGGAGTGGCATATAAAAATTTGCATTTCTAAGTTGCAAGGTGATCTTGCTGGTCTAGGAACCCCACTGAGAACCCATTCTACAATTCAGCTCTATGTGGTTGTAAAAAATCAAACCTATCAACTTCAGTGAAGACTTAAAATGTATTGGAATAAAAATGGAAAAAATTGGAAAATGTTGGACATCACACCAACTCTCAAGTGGTTTGATCCCTCTAGCTGTTTTTTGGCAAAACACATTTCCTATAAGTAGGAATACCATTTTAGAGATACATAAGCCATCCACTGTGTTGTTTTCCAAATACCTTATGTACTCACTTGTATGTACCCCATTCTCTACAGTTTTAAAGTGACTCAAGATTTGTAGGCTTTTTACCAAATCACAAAAAGAGCAGGCCTAAGCATTTGTTAGGCTTCTTAAGGTTAGGTTTATGATATACAGCTTTGTGTAATATAGCCTTCATCAGTTTGTGCACGCTCATACTTGAACTAGATGAATGTATTATGGGCAGTATTATCACTACTCCACAAAGAACAATACACTGGAATATTTTTCTCTGGGTTCTATTTCAGCTCTTGTATTCAAAATATTTTCCCATTTATGTCCAAAATAAACAGCAACATAATTACTTCCTGTTTTCTATTGTCCTCTACTTGGAATGCAAATGTGCTTGGAAAAGCCAGAGTATATCAAAGTTACTACAAGAATTTTGAAAATTATAATTAGTTTCAGAAGAAACCTACTCAGTTTGCAGGTTCTTTTATCTCTATTCAATGTTAAAAGATGGGAAAAAGGCATCCTTTTATATTAATGCATAAAAACCTTTGGGGAAAAAACATCAGTGTTAACTAGGTATAGTTCATATAAGAAAGAGCTAATCTAATTTTTAAGTTCAGAACATCTGAGAAAGCATGTTTTGACCAATACAAAAGTTTATTTAACAAAAGTTCAATGTGAAAATGGACTGGACTCTATTTTTAAATTGTAGTAAAACAGGTGCTATGGAGAGGGGACACGTGGAAGCAGTTGATTTCTCTGGTAACTATAGCCATTCTTCATACTCGTTCCAAGGCTTCTAACATGATGATACTATTTCCTCGTATTACCTAAGAGAAAAGTAAATTTAAAAAGACCACAAGTCATTTAACAGACATACCATGATGAAAGAATTTTCACCAAATCATTAATGGTTTTGCAGTATTAAATATCAGTTTGAGGCTTTTTTCAAGCCACAGGAATACCAAATAACTTGTCTTTTAAACACTCATGAAGTCATATAAGCCCTTTTTAATGAGATGCACGTTATCTAGATCAAAGGCTAACAACTACCCCTTTGAGATATCAAGTCTCCAGTGACTCATTTCACCTCCTCATGGATTTGCTTTTCAAAATGCAGTAATGAAAATATATTTGAAATAAACAGTAACAAATAAGCAGGATGCAAATAACATACCCATCACTGCCCCTAATCCAGTGGTCGGCAAACTCATTAGTCAACAGAGCCAAATATCAACAGTACAACGATTGAAATTTCTTTTGAGAGCCAAATTTTTTAAACTTAAACTATATAGGTAGGTACACTGTTAACTTAATTAGGGTACTCCTAAGCTGGCCTTTGCTAAAAACGTCCTCAATCTGATTGAGGTACGTTCTCTGAGGTCGACCCCTTCCAACTTTCCTATCCACACTCGTCTTGTATACTTGTTTCAGATAGACGAGTGTGGATGGGAGAGTTGGAAGGAGTCGACCTCAGCGAAAGTACCTCAAAACAATGTACCTCCCCTGCGCTGTGTATCCCGTCGCCTGACCAACCGACACCCCCCACTTCTTCTAATGCCACTTCTTCAAAAGACTCGCCCAGGCCAAAAACCGACTTCTGCGCATTGGCCACGAAGTTTCAATCGCACTGTACGTGTGCGCCCGCACGTGGTATTTTGTGGAAGAGCCACACTCAAGGGGCCAAAGAGCCACGGTTTGCTGACCATTGGCTTAAGGGATCCATAAATTAATGGGGAAAAAAGTGCAATAGAATATGCATGTTATTAGTTTTGGGTGAAGATCAATTAGGAAACAAACCAGAATGAAAGTTGTGCAAAGCAGGCTCTAAGAAATGGCATTTTAGCTGAGTTTTGAAAATTGGGTAGATTTTTTTATAAGAAAATAGGAAATTCTGTATCTTATCTGGGGGATAAGGAAAGAATCTAATTGGCAGTAAAAGATTATGAAGGGAAGTGGAAACAAAGATAGTTTGCACCCAATCTTAGAAGGCCTCAAACACCAATCTTAAAAGTGTTTGGAGGGGACCAAGAAACCAACAATGTGCTACTGAAAATTTCACAGTTGGAATGACCAGTTCTGGCAACAGCATAGACAGACCTTTGAACAACACCGGACTGAGGGGGCCAAATGCCCGCACAGTTGAAAATCTGTGTACAGCTTTTGACTCCCAGTCTTACCTCAAAGGGGATCGTTTCCAGGACCCCCTGCAGATACCAAAATCGACAGATGCTCAAGTCCCTTATATAAGAAAGCATACAGATGGCTCTCCACATCCATGGATTCCCAACCACGAAAACAGTATTTTCAATCCACAGTTGGTTGAATCAGTGGATGTGAAACCCAGGGACACTGTGTAGCTACTGAAAAAAATCAGTGTATAGGTGGGCCTGCATAGTTTAAATCCATGTTGTTCAAGTGTTAACTGTATAAGAGAATGGGAGAGAGTTTAGAGGCAAGAAGAGAAGTTATACAGAAAAGGCCCTAGGACTAGCATAGTGCCTGACATAGCCAGACACTTATGAGAGCACAGATGAAATGGCTAGTAACTGAGTTCAAGAGCGATAGAAAAATAAGTCAAACTCCAGGGCAAGGCTTTTGTGAATACAGGGTTTAGCA